TCCCCCCCTCTCTTTCACTTGTCAGGTGACCTTGCATGGTTTTAAATTTCCTATGGTATGGTGTTTTGAAGTGTGCTCGTATAGTGGCAGGCGGTAGCTCACTAACGAATGCCGAGTCTCAGTTACCATTTTTCTGATGGTACTGTTTAAAGTCCACACTGCACTATTTTTGGAAACTGGACGCATCATCGATGGTGTGAGTGACTCTGCTGCCCGATGGAGCCCTTGACATTTTTCCCTCTGTCTTTCGTGTAGCTGTGTCCTGTGACTACTCCCCTGCCCCAGGGAACTTCCCTTCTGTTCTCTGAGGCCAGCTTTTTCAGATCCACACGTAAGTGCTGGCAGGGGTGTTGGTCTTTTGCTGCATGGATTTTTTTGCTTGATGTAATAGCTCCCATGTTATTGCAAATGACTGGAGAAAACAGTCCACAGAGAAAGGAGAAGAGGAGAAAAATATTTGCAAGCTACCCTGGAGACAAAATGTTAACATCAAAATATATCAGAAATTCAATAGCAGAAACAAATCTTCCCAAACCTCAGGAAAACAAACAACCCGGGTTTGCTTTAGGTTTGTACTCTTAAATTAAAAATAGCTGCCTTTAAAAGATAGCAGGTGGTCGGAGACGTAGCTCGGCTGGCTGAGTGCTTGCCCAGCCTGTATGAGGTTCTGAGTTTGATCACCAGCACCATATAAACTGGGCATTGTGGTACACACTCATTATCCTAGCACTTTGGTGGCAGAGGCAGGAGGGCCAGAAGTTCAAGGTCAGATAGTGAATTTGAGGCCAGCCTGGGGTACAACAAATTTTGTCTCAATAGACAGGGGTTTTTTCACTATGTTACTCAGGTTGGCCTTGAACCCCTGCACTCCTGTGATTTTTTCCTCTGTTCCCTGAGTAGCTGGAACTGCAGGCATGTAGCACTGTGTCTAGCTTTGGGTTTTGCTTTTAAATAAGGGTAATTCTTTTACCAATACTTGGACATGTTCATGTCAGCCTGCAGCTCCTTGTTGGGGACACTGCCAGCATTCTTTGGGGCTGAGATGTCCTTGCTTAGTAACCAGAGAAGAGAAAGGCCATGGAGAAACTTACCTTGCTTTGGAAGATAATCCCTGGTGATGCTGTGGCTTGACCCATGTGTGCCTTGGGACCCCTGTGGGACCAGATTTTTCTGCAAGAGGGATCCTCTGCCAGAAGACAAAGCTACACAGGCATGTTTCCGGAGTAAGGGCCAGGAGTGGTGTGTACACCCGTAAATCCCAGTGATGGGCAGGTGGAGTCAGATGCATTCCTATGTCTTTCTGACCAGCTGGTCTGGCCAAATTGGTGAGCTCCAAGTTCAGTGAAAGACCCTGCCTTAAAATAGAAGGTATAGAGCGATTGAGGAAGACGTCTGACATTGAACCCTGGCCTCCATGTACCCATGCAGGAATATACATGAGCATGTGTGTGTGCCTGTGCGTGCACACACACACACACACACACACACACACACACACACACACACACACACGACACAGACAGACAGACAGACAGATACACAGACATCATCTTATGCTTGGGCAGCACGCACTCTAAACCACCTCTTCAGTCTTGCCATAGCCAATCCTGGAGAGATGTAGGATCACCCAGGAGATACACTCTTGGCATGTCTGTGAGGGTGTTTTAGGGGGCTTTAATAGAGGAGGGAAGACTTGCCCTGAATGTGAGGAACAGCCTTCTGGAAGATGGGGTTTCAGATTGAATAAAAAGAAGAAAGTGTGGGAGCCCAGCTGGGAGACTGGCTCCCACATTTTACCCCAGGGAACTCTTGAGGAGAGAGGAATAAGAGATTTAGACAGAAGGGTAGAGGGGAAAGAAACAGAAACACAGGATCGCCTCGGGAGGGCCTGGATCCTTATTCACTGGCCCTTCTGTCTCTTCTAAAGGGCTATTTATAGGAATGCCAAGGAGTAGTGCAAAGACCTCCCCCAGCTCAGCCAAGAGCAGACCCTTCCAATCACCTAGAAACCACGCACATAGTGAAGCCATCCTCTAATGCAGCCCTGCTGGGTAAAACAAGCTCAGATCTCACCAGGAACCTTTGTGGGCCTCCACAAGAAAGCAAGGGACAAGAATGCTTATCTCTGCTTCCTAAGTGGACCCGATGCAACCAGCCACCTCACTCCTGCTGCTGTCTTTCCTACTGTGGTGGACTGTCCTCTACCTCAAGCCACAATTAACCCTTCCATGGTGAGGGATTTTGTCATTGACACACAGGCCTCACAGCATCTGTCTGTATAACTAGCTAAGCTGGGGAGGAGAAACTGGCACCCTCTTGGCATCTGATGACATTACACTCCATTATTTTTATTTTTGTGTGTGGCTAGTTTCTTCGTTTCTTTTATTCTTTTCATGTGTCTGCATGTATGGTATGCATACATATATATATATGCACGTTTGCATTTGTGCGTGTGTGCATGTCCAGGCCTGAGGATGATGTCAAGAGTCTTTCTCCATTGCTCTCTATGTTACTCACTGAGACATTAACCCAGAGCTCACAAAATATGGCTGTTTAGCTAGCCTGCCTGCTCTGGAGAGCTCCTGTCAGCCTTTAGAGAGCTGGAGTTACAGGTAGGACATCATTCCCACCTGTCATTTATGTGGGTTCTGGAGGTTCAAACTCTGGTCCTCAAGCACCAAATGGTCTAACCACTGAACTGTGTCCCTCTTTTGGATCATGAAAGAGCCATGCTATGACCAAGAGTTGACGTTGCTCATAAGACACAGTGGCTCTGGGTGGCCTTGGACCCCCGCCCTGCCATGGATGGTGACTTTGTATTCCTCCCACTTCTGTGTCCCCATGGCGACCTTTATGGATTTCAAGATAACATCGCCTCTGTCTCCTTTCTCTTCTTGTTATGTACCATCAGACACACATCCACTTAGAGACACACTCTGGGACAGGTGGAAAAATATGGAAAAAAATAAGACAAAACAACAAACAAACAAAGAACAGCGATGAGCTATGGCACCCTGAGATGCCTGCCGATCCAGCCTGTGGAGCAATGCGGCCACCCTTTAGTCTTCACTTTTTATTTGCCATACTCACACTGACGTACTTTTAATACCAGGAAAAGGGGAACATGGCTTTCTCGGTATCCCCAAAGAGGAACCAAAACAAACAGCCAAACAATTCCATTCAAGAAAAAAAGCAGACACAACCTAGGGAAACAGAGTGTGTGCCTGAGGTCAACTCGTTTTCTGAATGAGAAACAGGATGCAGCGGGGAACTTGAGGCTTTTAATAGACTGAATGAAGAACCTTGGAGCCAGCCTGGGCTCTGTGGGGCAGAGCTGACCTCACTTTGTTTCAGGATGACTCCGTGACAGGCTCATGTTCCACCCTAGTGCCTGGGCACCACGGGAAACTGGCTCAGTGGCTGCAGATGTTGTAGCCACCAAGACCAGCTGTCTGTAGTCAGCATGCCTCTGTGTGACTTATGACAAGGCTGTGTCCATGCTGGGTGATGTCCTGCATGGCTGGCCTTCCTCATTTCTGCTTTGCAGTTCTTTTTAACTGGGGGCCTTTCTGTGGCCTTTCCTCTAGGTCAGGGTCTCTTCCACTCTGGGGCACAGGGTGGATGCTGGCCATTTTCCACACAGGATCCAGCTGGTGTGTTCAGCCTTCTGATTTTGCAACTTAACATTGTCATCTACAAAGTCCATCCTGGAGAAGTGTGAAACTGAATTTAAAAAAATAAATGGCAGAAAGAAATCCTCATGTTTTAAGAGGTTTAGGATTTTGTGTTGAGCCATACTCAAGCTGTGTTCAGCTGCAGTCAGGACACACCCATGTCATACTAAGACATGTGAGTGACAAGGGGCATGAGAGGTAACAAGGAAGGCGCTTTCCTTCTCCACACAGGCCATTCTGCATCACTTGGAAATGCATGAGCTTTCTCGTGGTTAGTGGGAAGGGGCCAGTGTGGAGAGGAGACACAGGCAGCCGGCTGCACCCCAGGGCAGGTCTATCAGATCTTTTGTTTCTTCCCTGGCTCATGTCTGGGCACAGATGCAGGCCATCTTTGCAAAAGACACTGTTCACCCGAGCGACTGTCCAGCCGCCACCGTTCTCATTGGTTTCCCCCTCCACTGCCCCAACATTTAGATTGAAATTTAGTTGCCATGGCAATAGCACTGAGGGGCGTGGCCTTTAGGAAGTGGTTCTGTTGGGAGGGCTCCACCCTCATGGAGGGAATAGCGTGTCCCAGGAAGTGTGTGGGTTATTTCAATAGTGGGCTGTCAGAACAATATTAGGATCGTCAGCTCCTTCGCTCACACTGTCCTGCATGGTGATCTGAATGAGACATGTCCCCCCTGCAGCCTCATTGTCTGAACACTCAGTCCCCTGTCGGAGGCACTGTGTGTGTGGAGGTTACAGAACCTGAAGGAGGCAGAGCCTTCCGGAGGAAGTCTGTCACTGGGGGCGGGCTTTGATGGTGTATGGCCTCACCCCACATCATGGTCCCTCTCTCTGTTTGCTTTGTACAGCTGTCTTTCCGCTTGCCACCGTGCCTTCCTGGCCGTGGGGATGTTCCTCTGGAACCCTTCTTCCTGTTTATCACAGCAACAGGACAGTAACCAGCACACCTGCTGCTTGTCAGCTTCCATCACTACAGCGAAATTCCCGGAGCAATCCACTACTGACGAGGTAGTGGATTCACTGATGCTTGGTCCTGCTGCGTGGGGCCGGTGGTGGCGCAAGACATCATGGTGGGTGTACACGGGAGAGGTTGCTTACCTCAGGGCAGCTGGGGAAGAGAGAGAGGTAAAATGGGCCAGGGTCCCCTGTCTTCTTCAAGACACACCTCCAGTGCCTCGCTTCCTTCTACCAGGAGCCCCCCTCATAGCACCACGTGCTCGAGACCAAGACTTGTCTTGGGGGAGGGCCATCTCTTGACATGCTATGAGAAGGCCTCCGTCACCTGCCAGCACCTGTCCAGGACTTAAAGCCTCAAGGACCATGAACAAGTCGATGTTCGTTCTTACATTTCCAGGCTTTGCTTTCTCTGCAAGTCCCTGGCTTCTGCTATAACTCCTCACATTTATACTCGACACACTCAGACATTCTTCTGGGATGGACCGAGGGTTGCTACGCGGCCACAGAGGATGAGGGAGGTAGAAGGATGTTTCGCTTCCTTTGGTGGACACCAAACACACTTCAGTCTTCTCATGGGAGCTCTGGTGAGAGACAGAGGGACGGAGGGAGAGATGGAGAGGGAGAGAGACTGAGTGAGTGAGCTGGCACCAGCGTCAGCTGCTCCAAGGAGCACCCCCACACCAGAATGCTTTCCAGGCCGAGTGTCTACATTTTGCAGCAGGCGGGGTCAGGGATTCAGTCAGCTTGGGACCTGGGGCTGGAGGGAAGCAAAGCTGTAGACCTTGTTTGCTGTGTTTGGTCAAAGGCCACCCTTCAAACACAGTTCTTTTCACTGGGGATGAACTTTTGACCTATGTTTGGGTTCTGATTGGCATTTTCTAGGGAGTCCATGGGATTATGTTCAATGAGGGGATTAAATTGCTTTATTAGAATCTATTAATTATGGATAACCAGGGTTTCAGTATGCCACGTTCATACATGTGTATATTTTGCTTATATGCACTCCCATTACCTTGCTTCTCCGATGCTCCCCTCATTGTCACCTGTTCCTCTTCTACTTTCACGTCTTTTTCTTGTTTGTCTTGGTGACCCAGCGAGTGTCATCAGGGTGCGTGCAGGAGCCTAGGTGAGGGCTCATTACAGGAGCATGGACGCTTTATCAGGGCTGCACTACTGAAGAAAATTTCTCCCTTCAGTGATTTTTTTTTTTTTTTTTT